GATTTATGATAACATATTTAATAATATGCGATTGATTTTAGCTGCCTTATAATTTTGATTTTATATGGATTCTGAGATAATTTGTGATGAGATTTATGAAACAAAAAAGCAAGATGACAAATGGTAATTTTGAAGGTCACCACCCATTCAATAAAACAAGCAAGTTAAACATTTTATTACAAAAACTTCTGCTTCAAGTTAAGATTTTAAGTAATTGTGTGTGTGTGTCTGTAATATGGATACACACACAAGGGATCTGACTGAAGTGTTTAAGATTGTTAAGGAAATTGACAGTGTTGATGCTCATCTTTTTATTTTGTACTCAGTGGTCATAATGGTAGGACAAGAAGACACAAGTATAAATCTTAAGAGGGTAGGAGTCATCTTTAGTTAAGACAGTTGTATTTTTCTAATACATTGGTTGACCTATGGAATGGGTTGCCTTCAAATGTGGTGGATGCAGTAAATTTAAGGAGTTAAGGAAAGGCTTGATAAATATTGAAGTGATAAAGACCAACTTTGATTATTATTATTTTTCAAAGTTTAGTTATTGGATAGAATAGCCTCAATGAACCAGTTGGACCCTTGTTTCTCCATAAATGTTATCATAAATATATAGGTATTCTCATCTATGTGCATGTTTAACAAGTATAATTCAAACTAGCTGTACAGATCATCAAATCAGGCATACCATTTTGTAAGTTTATAACTAACCAAAACAGTTGTTAAAACAAAGCTGCATCTAGGCTTCCAAATTATCCCTAATATTCAGGTTTGTGTTTCAAATGTTTGCACCACCTAAACAGACAAACAGTAGGAAGACTATCCAACTGTCTAGATATTTAAACAATTCAATCATATCCCCTCTAACTGTGCACTTTAAATAAAACAAGTCCAAAACTCAAGTTCCTTTGCATAGCTTAAATTACTTTAATCATGAATAATTCTAGTAGCCTATCTTTGCACTCTTTTTCAACATGTTGATATTGTTGTAAGCTATATTTTCAATGGTTTAGTTTAAATTTAGCTAGAAAGTACATGACATTAAATCAAAAATTTGATAAAAATAGGTCTAGAATACCTAGAATGTTCTTAATATGTCATCGTGAAATTCTAGTAACTTTGACAAATATCTAGAAGTGAGACATCAGATATAAATACTAGTGGGACAGTTAATTAGTAAGCTAGCAGTGAGTCAGTAAGTAGAGTGCCAGTTATTCAGTGAAGTATTTGAATAAATGTGTTATTGTGTATATTCAGTTATTCAGTCAACTAGTTGTGTAATTCCACAAGTTTAATTTTACATGTACTACAAGCTTTTAGAAGCGTTAAGGAAGAAATAAACTAATTTATTATCATTACATGGGCTAGTCTTCAAATTATTTTCACCATACAATTTATAAGAACCTAACCAACGAAAGAACAACATTATAACTCTAATGTTAGAAGTAAGAATATTTTTGTGAAAATAAAATAGAATTTGAATGTACTTGAAGTTTAGCTTAACTCTTTAAGATGACGATCACATGGTCAAGAAGTGAGATCCAAAGATAACTATAGATGGTGAATTTATTAAAAGAAGATAAAGAAGAAAAAGACAGAAAATGAAAAGAAGATCAAGAAAAAAGACAGAAAATGAAAAGAAGATCAAGAAAAACATTTTATAGAAAATTGAAAGATGATCAAGAGGTAAGAGATGGAAATTTAAGAGAAGAATTAAAAGAAAGACACACTATTTAAAGAATAATTAAAATAAAAAATAACTGATATAATATAAAATTGAAGAAAAATCACAAAAATGCTATTATGACAGAATTGATGCAGAACAGAAATCAATAAGGTACAGAAATACTGTGATGATAAAATTGAAGTACAAAGAACATCAAAAGAGTCAAAAGTGAAGTACAGAAAGATGTCTATGAAGCATAGAAAGATTATAACAGCAAGATCAGTGAAGTAGAAAAGAACATGAGTGACAGAATAAAATATTTGGGAAATGAAATGGTAAAGACAAAGATTAAACCAGTTACTCCTTTTTCTGTATCTGCCCAAGAATTCCAACCTAAAACATCATTTATTACAAAATATGGAGTTGGAGAATCTCCTTAGTCTACACCTCTTGTCACTACTGATATGCCATCTTTGACTGCAGAATCTTCATTGACTTCTATAGCCATATTATTACCAAATTCAGTTTCAAAATATAGGTGGTCAGTTCAACATCAGCCAGTCAAAAAACTAATGGACTGTGATGGAAAGGTACCATAGGAGACATATCAGACTCATTTTGAAATAATTTCCAAAGTGAAAAGGAGGAATAGTTAACAATAAGCTATCCTTCTTGCTACCCACTTAAAATGACCAATTTTTATGGCATTAAGTTATCATCCAGCTGAGAGCCTTATCAACTATCAAGCATTAGTATCTGCCTTATTCAACAGGTCTGGAGTGACACACCAGAAGAAAGTATCCAGAGCAAAGTTTTGGAACAGGGTAAAGAGGAAAAAAAAAGAGATCTTAGCTGAACTTTCAGAATACTTGAAAAGGATTGCCCAGTTATCTTACCCAGATGCTCCTCATGGAATGATGGACTCATTAGCAGGTCAGCGCAGATAGCCCTCGTGTAGCTTTGCACGAAATTCAAAACAAACCAAACCAATCATTAGCAGGTGACCAATTAGTAGAAGTCCATAACAAACAAAGATATGAGAATTAGACTGAAGTAAATTAAGTGTACATTCATAAAGGAAGCTCTGTTGTTGGAGATGGAATTCAAATCTGTTAAAGTCACAGATAAACTATCAAAAATATCCTTTAGAAGTTATGGGAATTTCAGATCATGTATTATTGAAACATCAGTTTTCCATCTAACACTAGTCTAGAAGAATTGAAATAATTATTCAGATAGCTAGTTACACAGAATGATAAGAACAAACCACAAGAAAATAGGTGTTTAAAGTGTAATTTGAACTGTTGATTAAGGCCAGTATAGAACAAGAAAACCTAGAGGTTATTAGAAAGAGGGAACTGTCATAATTGTGAAAATCATAACCATTACAGCCAAGATTGTAAGGAATCAACAGCTGATATTAAGGAAAGGAAACAATGAGGATGTGTTTCAGAAACAAGTAAGATCAAAGAAACGACAAAGAGCTAACCAGACAACAAAAAGACAGGAATTAGCTTGATTTATAAGTTGAAGCTCACCTGAACATATTCCACTTACTACAAATATGATTTAAGGAGAATCATCCACAAGTCCAGGAGTTTATCAATGGAAAATCTTGAAGTGTGTTGATCAACACTGTTTCTACAGTTATTGATCTTAATGTCTTGTGCCCTCTAGCTAAATCTAAATTTTAAAGCATTGGTAATATAGCTTACAACAAATATCAATATGTTGAGAAAGAGTGGAAATACAGGCCACTAAAATTATTAATAGTTTAAGTTCTTCAAGCTATGCAGAGGGGCTTGAGTTTTGGACTTGAGCTGAGTGCTTAAATGTTGTGAAAAGAACTGGCCTGTCAAGGATGTCCTGATTCCCAACCTCCACCAACAAACAAAAACTAATCACAAAATCTGATCTTGATCTCAAATTTTCATTAACCCTTTTCTTAAACTGCAGTAAATTTGCAACTTCTACCACTCTAAATGTCAATTTGTTTCACAGGTTTACTGCTGTATTGGAGAAATAAAATTTCCTTGAATAAAGATATGCCTGACCTATTCAACTCTTAAGTTCATGACTTCTTGTATAAGTGTTCTCAGAATTCAACATTAACAAATCTGATCTACCTTTTTTAATGTTGCTTAATAATTTTGAATGCTTCAGTTAGATTACCCTTAACCATTCTCTTTTGTAAGACAGAACAAGATGAAAAACCTCAACCTGTCTTCCTATGACAATATGTTCATCCCTGGAATTATCCTAGTAGACTCCTTTAAACCCTCTCCAACATCTTTTTGTCCTTCCTAAGATAAAAGGACCACAGTTGCCCATATTACTCCAAACGAGGGATAACTAGAGACTTGTACAAAGAAACTAATTGGTCTGATAATATATGCTGGATACCAATTATTAATATCCTACTTCTTTGTTCACTAAATTAAAACTATAGAGTTTTAATTTCCCTATATGATAGAATTTTAATATTTTTTTAATTTAAGAGTAAGAAGAGTATTGTGACTTTGCATATGACTTAGACTTTATTTGTAGTATTGTGGTGAAAAGAGCAAATAGAATTTGAAATTTGTTTATAGCATTTTAAACTCAAGAGCAAGAAGGTATTGTGATTTGCACAGGACTGGTGAGTGGTTTTGCAAATTTGTTGTGCACAACGTGCACTGAAGGATTTTGTCAGTTTCCAAAGATTTTCACCTAGAGCAGAAGATTTTACTGTAGAAATTCACATGTGAAACATCTGTCACCATAAATTTCTCTAAATTGCCAGTTTTGTGATCATGAAATAAGTAGATTTAATTGTAGTTTATTGAGTATTAACATAAACACAATGACTTGTTCAAGTTTAAAGACCATTCTATCTTGGTGCCAACATATAACATTTAGTGAGACAGCTGTATTTTTTTTATGAAAAGGTTAAGAAATTTACCTTGAATAGTGTGGGTAATATGTTTAAGTTCTGGATGTGTAAATGTACTCTTGTTCTTTAAGGAAATTATTTTTTTGGGTAGTCATAAACTTGTTGAATGGTTTTCATGAAGATATATGTTCTGCTAGTTAAGATTTTTTAAAACTTTCCATTGGAAGGGTATGTGGAGGTGAAGGGGAATGTTTATTTTGGATTTGATGCTTTTGTTATTTACTTTTAAAACTGAGGGATGATATTGATGGGCCAGTTAACTTTCTGAGGCTTTGCTTTTTTATGCTCTTAAATTTACAGTAAACCCTAAATCACGATTACTTGATATTAATAAAACTTACGATAATGTCATCAGGATTAGTTCTTAAGCATTTGAATTTCAACTTTCTTTCCTTGCAGATTATTAATTGTGGAAAAGTGTGCAGTAATTTGATAAATTAGAAATGAATACAGAAAAGTCATCAACTCAGATCTCTATATCAGACTCTCCAATATCAACTGTTTCTCCAATTTCTGGAGTATCATCAGTTGAGATGCAGGCACCACCTCCAAGTCTGATTACCACAACTATGGCAGTGACTTCAGGACCCATTCCCATGGCAGTGACTTCAGGACCCGTTCCCATAGCAATGACTTCAGTACCTATATCCATGACAATGAATTCAATACCTGTTTCCATGGCAATGACTTCAGGACCTGTTTCCATTTCAGCAACAGTGTCTCATCCAATAACACCTGCTACACCAGCACCAGCACCACCTCGAGAAGAAATGGCTACACCAGCACCATGTCATACTCCAATTGCTCCACCCCAGACTCAGTCCTCAATGCATCCTACTACGCATCAAAATATAGGACAGACAGCAATTGCAAATGTGGCATCCTCTTTGTTTCCACAGGTAAAATTATAGTCTTCAGGTTTCTCAGGGATAGAAATAATGAAATAAAATTGCATTCACTTAAGAGGAAGCTATCAGAAAGGTTACCTTCCCTCATGTAAAATTGCATTTCCTGTTGAATTGTTTTTTATTTAATCCATGTAGTATGTTCACTTTCATTGGTCAAAACTAAAGAAATACAAATGGACATTACATTCCCAATCAGAAAGCTAACTCAAAAAATTAAATTCCTTGGAAATGCAGGAATGTAATATTTTGATCCCTGTTTTTTTATAAGCCTCTCTGATTTGTTTGGAAAATTCTGGTCAGTGTATGTGAATGTTTCAGTGATTCTTTGTTTAGTCGTACGTTATGACAGTGTGTTTAAACATTACGTGCACTATCTTGTATGACAAACCTGATTTTAAAAAAAGTATTCAAACAGTTATCCTTAATTCCTCAGATAAATTGGCTTTATGATGGATGTTTTGAAGGTAAGTAATGTTGTTGTGCATTAAACATGTGATGGATGTGATTTTGGAACAGTCTTCAGAAATTTCTAAACAAGTTGCTTTGTGTAATAAATGCAACTGGGGAAACTTTCTTAAAATTCCCATTCAGAGACCAATACGAAGTATGTAATGATGTTGTAGAGCTGGTTGTTCAGGATGGACAGTCTTACTATTGTCATGGACATACTGTAAGCATAATGATAATTCTGATGTTTGATATCCATGGTCCAACAGTTCTTTTGTACTTGTACAAAAATATGTTGTATGTTCATTGCTTAGTGAGTTATGATTTGTCTTAAGTAATATTTTGTGAGGTTTATTGTTGCTTTTTGACAAAATATATACAAATAATTTGTTGAATTTTAATTTCTTTTGCCCAGTATATATTCATATGCACCATTATCCCAATAGTATGGTATTTTCCAATGTGTAAGCTACATCTGACGTGATTGGTAAAGAGAAATAAAAAGGAAAAAAAAAACTTTAAGAAACAAACTAAGTTTCTCATAAAGGGAATGATTAGGTAACGAAAAGTTTTCTCGAACTTGAAATATATTGACATTGTATTTAATATCACATTCATTAAGGTCATTAGCCAGCAGTTCATGATTGAATATATGGACATTAAAACTGTTTGAAATCTTCCTTCTTAGAAATTAATACATGTAATAAAACTAGAATCTTAACTATGATAAGGCAAAAACCACTGTTATAAAATATCATTAGTCACCTTCCTTAGTTCACTGTTGTTCAAACCAGACATTTGATAATCCATCATGTGATGTGAAATGAAAATAATTTGCCATTTAGATTATGCTTGTCAATGAATGTGTAATAAAAGTGATTTACATCTTTAGAGTTCTTGACATTTCTCTGATGTTGCATGCTTGAAAATTAAGTATGTTGATAAATTCATATCTTTAACCATTTTTCTGAAAGAGTTATTTCCAGGACACTTTTAGTGTCTGTAGTTACTTGAAAAAATGTGACAACATCCTCTTCTTCAAGGTGTGTTGACTAGTTTTACTATCTGACATACTGAGGGAAGGAACCATTCATTAAACTGAAATTATAACCAGTTCCATCAATATATGGCAGAACATGGACATGCCATACTTCCCTCACTACCATTTGCATCATATTCTAGTATAGAATATTGTATTGCCTGTTGCTAGTTCAAATGAATATGTTCTCGGTACCTCTGCAGGCAAACTGGTTTAGCCTAGCTATTAGGAAAATGTAATTTAATGGGTGTCTGGTATACAGGCCAACCATGTAGTCTGTTTTTATCTGTTTGTTCTGGAGTGGGTACCCTACACTTGTGGTTAGCCAGAATTGACAGATGTTCATTGATTTTGAAGTAATTCCACATTTTACAGCACTTTAAGACACTTTATGAATCAGTGAAAGTAAAGTTTCTAACAAAAATATTTGTGTCACATATATATTTATTATTACTATATGTAATTCGTATTATGAATCAGTGAAAGTAAACTTTCTAACAAAAATTACATAAATATATATATATATATTTTTTTTATTAAAGGTGCAAGTGATCCATAATCCTAGTTGCTTGCAGCAGCTGTATCCTCAGCCACAAATGCTCCTTCCTGGAAACCTCACCATCCAACAAGCTAGCTTGGGTCAGTCACTGCAAAATATGGGATCTGCACCAACTCTTAGCTTTCAGCTGCAAAACAAAGGACTGATGGACCAAAAAGGAGTGGCTGTCACAGGTCCAACTCTAATTCCAGCAGCACCGATACAGTCAGTAAGCACAGTTGGGAAGGTATGTAAGAAGTAACCTTTTTTTATTATATTTATTTTTAAGAATAATTTAAAGCATTGAAGCACATATTTTATTTTTGTATTTTATTATTTTAATGCTTAAATTCATTTTTGAATGATCTTACAGAACCTTAATATTTTGTGAAATGTTTACATAAACACGTGGAAAAGAGAAAACTCCAGGTCTTACCACTATTATGTACAAGCTTTAAACCTTGATTGGCTCTTCTGTGAAATTGTCACACTTATTAAAATAGCTTAGAACATCCACATATTATTCACACAGAAAAACTACATTACTACCGTGTGCATATAAAAGTAACATCATTGCACCAGAATGATTTTTCTCCTGCTGCATATAATATTATCTTTGTAAAGTTTTACGAGGGTATTAAGTCCCTTTATTTTTTGATGTAGAAGATTATGTACATACAAGTTTTAATGAAAAGTATTGCCAGTTTTTGGAAGTATTATACAAAAACAGAGAAATTATTTTTTTAAAATTGCTTTATTGTTTTATAGTTTCATGTTACTGTTGGACTAGACCTTTAATTTCTTAATTTTTATTTTATATTATATCTTTATATTAAGGTTTAAAGAGAAATATTGAATTCTCAAATAAGGATGTATCACACACTATGGGATGTGACATGTAATTTACTATGCAAAACAATTCAAGAATAATTGGAATTTGTCATATTAAAAGTGAGGGGAAAAAAAACCTCTGTTCTAAAGTAATATCAGTCATACCCCTCAAGTTGATTTTTATGTAGATCAGTCCTCTGATAATCAACCGTGATTGGTCATTCAGCTTATGCTATATGTATGTACATTATGTAGTGTCTCTCAGAATCTCATCTGACTTACCACTTTAAAGTGAATCACAAAGCTTAAAGTGTACCAAATTGCTCATGAATCACAACTAGACCTCCTTAGGTTGTTTCACTGATTGGAGAGCCATTGGATAAATGGAAGTGGTCCAATTGTAGCAGCTGTTGGAAATTGACTACAAGTGGCTCAAAGTATCATAAAGGAATGTGGAAACACTTCCAAACTACAGTTGTTTGTAAAGAAGTAAAGCCATCTCTACCAAGATAGACCTTTGTCCAAAAGCCAGGGTACTCATAGACCAAAGTTGTTTTTACTTTTTTTATTTTTTAAAGGGAAAAATGAATTAACCTGTATATCTTGGAAGTACTTTCATTAGCTGTTGACAACTTCTTGTTAATTCTAACTTGGTGCAGTTATAGGATACTTGCTTTGAGACTGAATCAGATGTTTACATCTACAACTGGGAGTCTTGGCATTTTACAGATGGTTAGAGACAAGCCTCACAAGTCCAGCCTATATGCATTATTTTCACATCAGTGCACAAAACAGCTTGTATGTAGTGGTGTCAAGAACACACAGAATGGACCAACAATTTGTGGAAGAACTGTATTCTTTTTGTAATCAGTTGTGCCTTACCTTGTAGTCAGACAATAACACTATACTGAAACCAGATCCAATACCATTTTCATACAGGAACATAACACATATTGCCTATCCATCATGCAAAGTAATTTTCATTTTATAAAAATTTTCTAATTTCACATGCGAAATCTTTATAATGTCCAGATAGTTATCAAACGTTTCTTAAGAGAAAAATTTATATTTTATCTTTTATTTTCAGTAACAATTCTCTGTATGGGTTAGGCAGATTTGACCGATCTCGAAACCACCATAAAAAATTAGGAAAATAAATATAAATTATGCCTCTTTCATTCTAGAATAACAACAAATTATAACATGAAAGCATAAATGTTTAGACTAAATAGCTTATATCTCGTAACATTATACATGTATATATATATTTATTATTTTTATTATATTGACCTTTCAGCCATGCCTGGCTAATGATACAGTAGTTACAATAACTCAGCACACGTGCACTCATGTTACCGTATCCAATAATGTACAACTGATCTTTAGTCTTTAATAAATGACCTGTCTTGGCCGTGTTTTAGTAGACTAGTATTTTGTAAAATACAGTCACATTTCAATTATTATACATTATATATGTATATGGATTATTGCTATTTAGAAATAAGTTCTTAAACTTATTTTTCTTAAAACATAGAACAGTAAATAAAGAAGTAAAGCAAGCAATTATCTCTTCTAGTTACAACCTATGCACTTGGTTGCTGCATGATGTAGGTTGCTAAGCCTTTTAAAATTTTGCACGTGGAGGATATAAAATGAAATAATTTTTTTGGGGTTTTATATATATACAGTTGAATAACCAAAATATCATAAATTACTATATTGATACCATAGAATACCACTATAATTTATCTTAGTAACTACGCTGTTTTTTAGTCTAAAAAAATATGAAATTTCGAGCAGACTAAATACACAACCTACCTCCTTGAAATCTTGGTTCAAAAGAAAGAGATGACATCCTAAGAATTTAAAATGGCTGAGAAACCACTAGGGAGACATTTTGAGCTTTCGATTGGTTATTCATGTCATATATAGAAGTAAGTATATGAATAAGGGAGCATTTCCAAAAATGGAAAGAGGTGAGTGGGGCGGCACTGTCTTTGATTTATTACATAAGCAATATCTTAGCAAATAGAAAATATAAGAGGCTCTTATTTTATATTCTAGCTTGTCAATATCATTAATTTGAGTTTCTGATTCATACAAAACTATAGACTTAGTATTTTGACATCACAAACATCTAATTTGAACCATTGCTGCATTCAGCATACTACGTGACAAACAAAAATCGAAGTTTAACTGAGTTTTAAATATTTACTTTTAAATTAAGAAATTGAGTAATGTATAATAATAAAATTTTAATTATAATCTACAGTTTGATACCAAACTTATTGACATAAATTCATGAAACAGTAGTTCAATAAAATTTTGAATGTGAGTCAACAAATTCAATGACATGGCCTTTCACCTGTGACCCGTATGGAAAGGGTTAATAGTCTGAATGGAATGACCAATTTTTTGGATATTAGGTTGCATTATGGATCTTGTGGAGATTGATTTGTACAAAAATATTTTACTTTATTTTATTTCAGATGTTCTCAGTTATTTTTGTGGAAAACAGAGTTGGCCAATTTATGCTATTTGGTAATCGGTTAACTAAGGGTCCCATTAATTGATTAGTACAGTTGGTAGTGAATGCTGCTACACAGTTGCCTTTCTTCTAGTTAGCATTTAGAAGAAAAAAAAGCTGGTGGTGGGTGCTGAAAGCCAGTTGCTTTCACTCTAATCAGCAAATCAACAACATTATCTTTTTACAAGATACAAAATTAATTAACCAAATACAATATAAATAAATGAAACTGCTCAAATACAAAATAACTTGAACAAATAGGGTAATTTTGTAGATCATTGATTATTAGTTTCATTTTATGTGTGATTATATTCAATAACAGTGGTGTTAAAATGTTTCTTGACCTTTTGCTGTGCAATGACCCAGCCATATTCCTGACACTTGTACTGCTGAAAGACATAACTTGCCTTTATGTTCTTAAACAGAATATATATATTGATTCCATAGTTATATGGCCATTTACTGTCTGATAGACCAGGGTTTTTCAATCTTTTGCACTTTAAGGCCCACTTAGCTATTTTGTACAGTAGTAAAGACCCATACTTACAGCTGATGACACATTAGTTCTTTGGAGTCACAGTTGTTCTAGCCCACAGTGGCCCATAACAGCTCATCATATGGCCCACTGGTTGTAAATCATTGTGTTAAACAACCATGTGATCTATCTCTTTACTTGATCAAAGATAGTGCCAGATTAATTTTCTAGAAAGTTCCCATCCTAGCTTTGTTTGAGACTGAGGGATTGGCATGTACTTGCTTCAACAACATTCTGAAACTGGATGTCCTTGAAGCATAACTCATAAATTTACAAAAAAAGTAATAGTGTGAGCTAACCATATTTATAACTGCAAGTTAAACCTTTATCATAATGTGTATTAAAGGCAATATATCTAATTTAATACAGAGAGATCTGTTACTTTGCTAAACAAAATTGTATCTATATATGTTAGAGAGATAAAGAATGCAAAGAATCTACAACAAATTAATCATAAATTTATTATAGAAGCCAGTCACATTTGAAAGAGTAAAATACATTAAGAAAATAAACAACTAAAGTAATGAAGTAAATTATAAATGAAAATTTATGCAAAAGGCTGATAAAGTAGATATAAAGACTGCTTCTTCTGTTTAGACTTAATACAAACCTAATTGTATGGAGGCTGAATGATTAATTGATGTGTACTTGTTTTAACAACAATTTGAAACTGGATGTCCTTGAAACATTTATAAATGTACAAAACAATAATATTATGAGCTAACCATATTCACAAATACAAGTTACACCTTCATTCTTATGTGTAGTAAGTGCAATGTATATAATATAATACAGATATTGTTAAACCAAAACATATGTACATGTTAAAACACAAAAAATTATATTAAGTTGCTTATAAATCTATTGTAAAAATCAATTATAACTGAGATATGATTGGGAAAATATAAGACAATAAAAAATAATCAAAATAAGGTAATTAAGTAAATTATGAATGACAATTAACAAAAAGGATGACAAAAGGGAGATATAGAAACTTCTTCTGTACAAACTTAATAATATAGAATAATTGTAGGTGAAAGAATAAACTATGCTTTCAAAAAGTGTAGTGTAGCATATGTTGGTATTCATCATCTAACATCATATTATGAAATTGGCAGAGGAGTAATGTTTTTTGTTGGCAAACTACATTGTTAGATAAGAAAGCTTAACTGTTTTATGGGTGGTTAAGTTAATTAAATGTTATGAATACTGTTTTGATTCAACAGAGCAAAAGTATTTTGAATAATGGAGAAAAAAGAAAAAAGTTGAAAATTTTAACTGAATTGAATTTTTAATTGAAATAATTTTTTTATTCCTTTAGATTTATATCTTCCAAAAAAGAGCCAATGATTAT